AGGGGGCCGGCCGGCGGTGCCTCGCCTTCCAGGGTGGAAACCCTCTCGCGAAAAGCTTTCCGGGCCGCTGACTTGAAAGGAGCCCGGGGTGTTGCGGTTTTCCTGCGGCGTCCTGAGCGGCAAGAAAGAGTCGCGCCTGGGGTTTGTGGTTATTTCTGAGTTACAAATGGCAGCGCGGTAAAACGCCGGGTTTGCGCTGGGCTGCACCGAAACCCGGTTGTTCGGTGCGTTGGGGGGAAAAAGGAAGGTGTGAGAAGGTAGGATGCCCTGTGACCAGCCTTTTGGTGATGCTCTGCCACGCGCTGCGGCGAAATTTCACTACCTTGGCGCGTTTAAGCTGGGTAATTTAACCCAGGCCCCGAGGCGGTTAGTGGAGGCTGTAATCTGCAGTTTGTGACATCTTCTTCCTCTCCACTGGCATTGTCGGAAACCTAGGGAAGCGAATCAGGGCGCCCAGAGTTAGATGTTCCCGAAGTTGTGTAGGGTAGGCATTTTGCTCCCAAATGCGGGAACTAACTGCAGTGTTTATTTCCCATTCAATGAAGCACTTTCAGGGGATTTTCTAGTTTCACAGACTATCACTTTGTTTGCCAGTTGGCTAAATAGAAGGCTAGCCTATCAAAATATCTGTATTCATGCAACAGACACGACAAAAAAGGCCTGTTTGCAAACGTTTGTGGCTTAGTGTAGTATCGTGCAGCAGACTGAGGATTGCTTGGAGTCATAGCTCTCATTGTCCAGCTCTTCGAAGTCTTCCTCAGAATCGATTGCAGGTTGTCACTGCAGGCAATTCCCCGTTTTTAACTCTCTTACCTTTTATTGCAATGCCTGGTTGGCTTTCCTTCTTAATGGAGGCTGCATTGTAAGGCCCTTTTGGTATCCATTCCTACAGCTCTGCATCTGGTGCCCCGCATTTGTACTAAATGCTGTCATTTATGGCTAAGGAGTTGGATTTAGTGCCCTTAAGGATTTCCTGAGCAGACTAAGAGCGCACAGAGAGATAGCTGAGTGGAAATCCCTAATCGTTAGTTGACTTGTACTACTCCGTGTTTCTGCTGCCTTGGGTTAACCTTGGCCCTCAGCGTAGCAAAGCTGTGCTCCGGCATCCTTCTCCCTCCTTGATGAATGTAGGAAACCTGAGAAAATTTTTGTTTCCAGTTATCACTGTTACTTTGGTACCTGAATCCAGGACTGTGTGAGCAAGGGACCTGTGTGACAAAGTAGTCCCTCATCTGAACAGCTCAGTGATCAGCAGGCAAAGTAAATGCTACTGGAACCCTTTTTCTTTAGTATTAGTGCTTTTTATGTTTTATTTAGTAATGGTTTATTCTGAAACCTGAGAAAATTTTTGTTTCCAGTTATCACTGTTACTTTGGTACCTGAATCCAGGACTGTGTGAGCAAGGGACCTGTGTGACAAAGTAGTCCCTCATCTGAACAGCTCAGTGATCAGCAGGCAAAGTAAATGCTACTGGAACCCTTTTTCTTTAGTATTAGTGCTTTTTATGTTTTATTTAGTAATGGTTTATTCTGATTATACATTCCCTACTGCTCCTCCTGTGGATCCATTTGCAAAAATCAGAGTGGATGACTGTGGAAAAACCAAGGGATGCTTCAGGTGAGTCTAAGACAAAAGTGCATATACCTTTATGTTTGCAAATGCTGACTGATTGTCTCGGAGACCTCGGTAAATCTTCCATATTCATTTTAACCAATGGTTATTATTTAAGAACATACTTTGTAGCCATGGACTATATTATTTGAGGAAACTAGATTGTTTAAGGATGTACACCATAGTTACAGACCTACAGTTGTTCCACGATTCTTGCATTTTCATGAAGCACTTAGAAAACCAGGGCTAGGAAGGTCAGCAGAGTAATACTGTGTGCAATTAATTGCTTGCTGTAATGTTTAAATATTATACATTCTTACACTAAAAGAGTAATAACTGCAAACACTTCATTAACAGTACTTTGTGTATAGCATGATGTAAGTTTTACTGCCATTATACAAAAACACATTCTTTTATTTATTTTCTGGCAGAAAAGTAATTAAGCTCCATAGCAGGAAACTGCAAGGAACAGTTACGTATATTTCCAATTCCATTTAGGTACGGTAAACCTGGATGCAATGCGGACACTTGTGACTACTTTCTGAGTTACCGTAGAATAGGAGCTGATGTGGAATTTGAGTTGAGTGCTGATACTGATGGCTGGGTGGCGGTGGGATTTTCCTCAGACAAGAAAATGGTAAGACGCACACAGTTCTTCATGTTGACAACGTGCACTCTTTCACGTGCTAGGATATAAATAGTTTATATTTGTTCTGTCAGAAACAGAGCATATGTGGAGAAACTGACTTGCTGAAAACAAAGCACCGTTCGGTAGCCAGCCTGGGAGCAGAAGCCAGGCCTGCTGCCTCCCAGAAAACTGCCTCATCCTTCGTACCATGTCCTTTCCCTTCTTCTCTGAGACTTATAACAGTATTTTACTTCAGCTTTGAGTGCCCGAATGTCACTAACTTTTTGTCTTTTTATTAGAAAAGCCCTCAGGGATAAGTCAGTTCACGTGGAAAAATTCCGTCGTGCTTCATGTCAGTGTGACACAGACAAAAAGCACATCAGACACTAAATAGCAAATAATTTTATTCTTCAGTAACTCAGCTGACTATCAGCGGTATAAATACAGCTTTCACTGGTAAACGTTGGAAATCCTTTCATTTCTTTCATACCTGTGTGTTGTTCCAGGGAAGCCACAAATATGTGACAAAATGACTCTTGCTAATTTAAACATACATGCTCTAGAAAGAAGTCTTGCTAAGATCTCTCTCTCTCTTCAGTTTGATTTGGTTTGGTTTTATGCTTATCTTTGTACTTACTTTTTCATTCAAAAGCTTCACTTTTCGTTGTGTTTCAATGAGTGAAACAGGAGCATGTACTGCATGGATTTTTTAAAAAAACTGAGTAATAGACAACTTATGCAAACATATGTTGTCTGTGATGCTTGGTAAAATGTTTAGGATTAAAATGCAGTTCATAATGTAGGTGTTTGTGTATAGAAACACTCCTGAGTATATAAAAAATACAGCGAGCCTGTGTCCTAAATCGCAGGTCAGTGGACAGGACTGTTTCTCGTACAGCTGTAAGCAGTAGTTTGAAAAAATACAGAATTTAGATGGCCTGGGCTAGGACCCACAAAAATGAATGGGAAGTCCCCTGCTGACTTAACATTTTTATCAGACCCAAAATGAGAAATAGAAAATACGAGGGCAGGTGTTTTTCAATCATCACTATATATGTTTTAATACGACACTGTAAATATACACAGTAAAGCTGGCAGGCTTTTATGTCATAAAGAGCAGTTCACGTCATAAAAAACAGTTCATGTTTACTGTGGGGAGGAACAGTTTTACAGGCAAATTTTGGGTGGCGTTTGGATGCCTGGCGATGCAAGTACTCTACGGCGTTTTCAGAGCAGCTCAGCACCTTTAGGTATGTGGCCCCAAGCTATCAGAGATCGTGCTACCGGTTTGTAACTCTGATATACCCGCAGTAGATCCCAAGGTCCCACCGCCTGCATCTCATCCGCCACTTGGAAAGCACCTGTTACAGGTCAGCCTAGGCACGCCAAGCAGCATGTTAGGTCTCAGCTAGAAGAATAAATAGAATAAACACTTAGTATAAATTAAGTATGAAGTAAAAGGTTTTGCCTCTATATTTGCTGTGTGGGTGGAGGATGCCCCATCCCTGGCTGTCTTCAAGGCCAGGCTGGATGTGGCTTTGAGCAACCTGGTCTAGTGCAAGGTGTCCCTGCCCATGGCAGGGGGGTTGGAACTAGATGGTCTTTAAGGTCCCTTCCAGCCCAAACCATTCTGTGATTCTATGATTTTCATGCCCATCAGCTGGCTGGACTAAGCCAGCTAGCATTTGTCTTCTTCTCTTGTTTGCTTGCTGTCTTCATCCTTTTTCATTACTTCCAGGATGTTTTGATGTCCTGGGATACGGAAGCTGTAATAGTGAAATGACTGTGGGTCGAAACAGCTTGGCTGTGAGACGTGGGCTGTGCCTTGGAGGCCCTAATCAAAATGGTGTGGCCTGGATAGCTACAGAAGTTCAGGGGGAAAACACAACTGTGTCCTCGACAGATCAAAGTCCTGTGACCTATTTCTTTGTCTCAAATAACATTATGCTTTTCCACTTGCAGGCTTTTGTGCATAGGCAGGATTTTGTAAGGTCATTCTGTTAATTTGGATTCAGAAAGCTTTTTTCTTTCCTGTTTATTTTTTTTTCTATGTGAAAACACCATTATTTTTGCCTCTGTACTTAAGAATGAGGGATTTGTGCTCAGATGTATAAAAATCAAACTTGGAAAATAAGTTATGGAGAGCAAGGATAGGCTCAAGACAGAAGCTGGAAAGGTTGCCTGCAGCAGCACTGTGATGTTCAAGCATGTGTTCTACGTAGCTGACCCCTTTTTCCCTCACTTCAGCACATCTTTTACAAATCCACCTAGCAGTGTTCCCAGAGAGCTGAGCTGTGCCCTTTTTCTCTCCTTTCCCTATAACAGAGAACTCAGAGATGATCACGCTCGCGAGCATCGTGTCTGCCTTCACCATGACATATCAGAAAGATTAGTATTGGAGAAGTAGGACCTGCATTAATAGGGCACCGATACCTGCGGCAGTGGTGTTCAGTAAAATGCCATTCGTCCAGCCTGCCCAGTGGGTTTTTTAATGGTTCGAGATACTAAAGCTTCTAGGAGAGAGTACTCCCCAGATTAATGCTAGTCCCTGAGTGATACAGTCAGTGCTCTACCACTTTGGCAGTGACCTTGAGTCCCTGTTCTAACAACTGGTTTAATATTTTTACGAATTACCTCTACGAATTTCCTGCTGCCTGTTGTTTCTTTGCTTGATTGTAATGCTTGGTGGCTGTTTATGCTGTGTGAAAAAGCACATATATATTATGCTTTTCTTGTGTCTTACGGTGTTCTGTATTCTGTTACTACATGCTGAACATTTCTCCTCTTAAGAGATAAAAGATGTGGTATTCCCTTAAGTAAACATGAGAAGAGACTAGAAAGGACAGACTGTAATTTATGCTATTATTTGCCCAGATTTGGAGATGCATCTCCTCTATTTTACTAAATTATACTGGATTTCTGTCTGGTTTTACAGTTTTATGCGGTGGTTTTTGTACACACCAAGGATTCAAGACCGCTGTTTTTTATGAAGCAGGATCCCAGAACTTCACAAATTACAAAAGAAAACAGCCTTTCACTGATCTATTAATTGTGTAATGTCAGGGTGATACCAGGCCTTACAAATCTGTTAAATATGTTAGGTAAAATAATTCTTAGAAAGATGCAACAGAGAATTGTAAGGGTAAGTAGATATTAGCATCCTCTTTGTGCTTCTCAATCTGATTGAAGACACGTGGTTAGGGAAACAAATATTCGTGCATATGTAACTTAGAAAGAAGGACTGAAAGCCCCACATCTTTATTAGTTTTTAATAAGGAAAATTGTATTCATAAATGAGGAAATGCTTTGTGACACTTTTGTTTTCCTTCTACCAATGTCTTTTTACCATGTAGGGAGGAGATGATGTCATGGCTTGTGTTCACGACGACAACGGAAGGGTCCGAATACAGCACTTCTATAATGTTGGGCAGTGGGCTAAAGAAATCCAGAGGAATCCTGCTAGAGATGAGGAAGGGGTTTTTGAAAACAACCGCGTAACATGTCGATTCAAGCGTCCTGTGTACGTACCCCGAGAGGAAACCATCGTCGATCTGCACTTGAGTTGGTACTACCTGTTTGCCTGGGGTCCAGCAATTCAGGGTAAGTCGACTTCCATGCTTCTGACAGAACTTGGGGGCCAAAGCTGATAAATGTCTTTCAATGACGATATGCTTACTAGACCCCCCTTTTTAAAAATGAACTAAAATTCTGGCAGCGTAAGGATTAAAACAGACAAAAAGGAAGACAAAATAAATGATAGTCCTACCTGTCATGTTTTCTTTGCCGTGTAGTTGTTACCTTACTCCCCAAAGATAAATTTAGGGAAGGATAACGCATAACTACATGTTCTGAATTCCTCTGAAGGATGTTTACTGTTTACTTGAATGTCATTTGTTTTATTCAGAAGTTCAACTTCAGAAAGCAGAGAAATGGCCCTCCTCACTGGCGGTGTAATATTGCATGCCCCTGTGGGTTTGAAAATCACTTGGTTTTCTACCTGTTTCTTTGGTAAAGTTATAGAAAAAATGCCTTTGACGTTATTTCTTTCTGTTAAAGGTTCTATAACTCGCCATGATATAGACTCACCACCCGTATCGGAGCGTGTTGTCAGTATTTACAAGTATGAAGATATTTTCATGCCGTCAGCTGCCTATCAGACCTTCTCTTCGCCGTTCTGCTTGCTCCTCATCGTTGCACTGACCTTCTATTTGTTGATGGGAACCCCGTGACTCATGGAAAAATAGCAAGAAGCTGTCAGTGGAAGTTTCTCAGGATGGACTGCTACATGGACAGACGATGCGTTTTTCTATTGGGATTTGTATCACACCACCACCGTCACCTAGCTGCTTTTGAACATAGTTAGCTTTTCAGGAGGATGGAACAACCACCTCCTTTGAGTGGCAGAGTGGTGACAAATCATTTCAGAGTAACTAGTGAATGCATAGGAGAATGTTTTCAGTGTTGTGACCACTTGCTTAAGGAAAAGCAGACTTTTGTGAAATCAGTGTGCGTGCGTACACGTGCGTGCGTTTGCGAGGGGTGTCTGTGTGTGTGGTGAGGCGAATTTAGCGATGGACATCTTATCAATTAACAAAATTGCCTTCCAAATTGCTCCCAAAAAAGCAAATTTGGGAAAACATCATAATACTGTTTGGTGATTCCGTTGCAGACAGCACAACTCCAAGTGCAGTTTCGGAACTTAAGGTCCGGATACTGACAGAGCAGTGTAAATCCTGCCCTTCAGTAATGGACGGTTCTCCCAGATTTTTTTATATTTGTCAAAGTTTACTTGCTCTGTTACTTTTCAGAATTGAACTTGCATAATCAAGCATTAACAGGATTTTTTTTTCAGTGGAAAAGAGGTGATGAATGTCTTTATAACCATATTGTTTCAACAGCCTTCTTGAAAGGAACGGCTACTTCTTTTATAAGTGAGATATAAAATTATTTAAAGAAGAGGAAGGGAGAATACAATAATGTAAATTCTGCATACGTAGGAAAAACAGATGTAAAACAGAGAGAATTTAGAAGTTCCCAACAAGCCATAGGACATCCTCCCAATAGATTAAACCCATATTTCTCTTTCTGTGAAAACACAGTAATACTGCTGACCTGTAAATACGTTTTTAAGCCGCTGTGTAGTAGTGCGAAGTAATCTGGTTTTCTGTGTTGTATTCCTGTATATCCCATTCGTGTTGAAGATGAATATGGGCAGCTGGTGTTACCTTACAAAGAAATGGAAATATAATTGAGATGATTTATAGGGA